ATTAAGACACACTTTCTTCACGGATCATGTTTTTTCTTCTTGTAATCAGTAATTAACTTTAATGATTTGTCAATGGCTTGGCATTTCTCATACAATTGATATCAATAAACGATGCATATACTGTTTTTAGCTGTGGTAAAGTAATAGTTGGAATAGACCAATATCAATCCACCGTCAAAATAATTCTTTTCCAAAAGTAACTATATTGATCAACTGTATTTTTCTGTTTTCTTTAGTTTAAGATCTGTACGTATCCAGTAAATTTATGTTGCTGACTTTATTGATCAGTTACAGAATGATAGTTACCAATTTCTCCGCCATCATAGTTAAGTTACAGAATCAATGGTAATAGCATAAGATCGGTTCGTCTTCTATTTTTGGACATAACATCCTAGAAAGTTTCCATATCACATAAGCATCTACCATGCAAAACTTCAAATGTCTATTTTTATGAGAAACTTTGCTAACGTTCTAATACTGTAATAATTTCCATGTCTCGATACATTGGATTGCCGCACTATGTCCTATGGATGTGCATATATTTTATATCTTTATAGTAGGAATATAAATATATATTTAGATATTGAATGAGTAATTATCAAGGCTTGTTTGTGATTTCATCGTTTACAGATTACAAATGTCAACATTCTAGGGGGGATTGTACAAATTTGACTGGATGAGGACAATCTAGATTCATAAAACGCTTCAAGATTGTCAACCTTGGCTACAATTTTTATGTTAAATAATACATAAGACACGCCCCGCTGCGTATAATGCTAGTAGACCCAGAACATAACTTGTGTTGACGATAAATACCAATTAAAGGTCAGATCCGTCATCAAGGCAGTTACAATATGCAACGTTTTATAAATTACTTTTTATAAAATTTCGACATTACTTCCCCTATAAATAAAATTAACCAACCTGCAATCCATTACGAACGAATCCCAAAAATAACACAACCCAATAGAAACAAGTAGAAATTTCAACTTTTACTATAAAAATAACATGAAATGTACATATGGATGCAAAATACATAATGAGCCTCATAACTATCTACAAGTGATACAAAATAACATCTAAAAATGAACATGTGTCCAAAAACACTGACACATGCTCGATGAAATGAGTCATACGAGCAAACTCTATCTTGTGACTGTCTCCAAAATCTAAGCTCAACTCTAGAGATGCCCAAAACTCAACCGCTACTTGATAAGAAAATCATGAGAAAATATATGAGTTAATAGTCCAGTCAGTGAAGAAGTTCGAAAATAATTGTACTTTTTCATTTATACATTTTTATCAAAATTGAGTCTATATCACTCAATAGATCATGATATAACATTATATAATAATGGTCATGATAGGAATCATAATTGTAATATTGAAAAATATCATCTCGTAGATATGAGAAAATCATCAATGCAAACTCGAAATATTTTCATTTGAAACTTTCGTTTCTATTGGCCCTTGACACGCCTACTAGGTATCGGATAGAGTTTTGTGTAATATCAACATCAGTAATCAATAATCACTAATCAACTGGACATAGTCGAGTGTCCATCTTCTTGTAATCATTAGAGGTACATCCCATGACAGTCCCATGATCATCTAAGAAGTATCCCATTCAAGATGCCAATAATCACAATATCACATCGAGTGGACCATCTTCCTGTGATCACTAGAGGTACATCCCCTGATAGCCCCCATGATCACTTAAGAAGTATTCCACCCAAGATGCGAATAATTACCATATCACAACGGCACAAGCAAGTATTGATTCATCCTGTGATCACCGAAGGCACGTCCCCTAGCTACACTTGCGATCACTTGAGAAGTTTCACTTGTGGCCAACACAATAGCATACCTTGCACGCCTTGGTGCCCTAGTAGTGGTTAATAAAACATATGTCTTGTATTCTAGTTCACAAGAAATCCACATATATCATAGATTGAATTAATTCACATAATTCCATGTAATGTGAAAACCTTTAAGTTTTTCGACTCACAGAACTATGTATGCAAAATCAACTTGATGGGTAGGTTGTCCCAATCTCCGTATTGTCGCCTTAAATATGATATAATTTTTAGATTGACCATTTAACCATTTTAAGCAACTTCAATAATTATATAGGTGATACTAAATTCTTTTTATTTTTATTTTTTTTTATTCAAGCTAATTTTCCAATTCCTTTAATCAGTTAAGCTGTCTTTTCTTCCCTTTAACTTGATTCCATAGCTTATTATACTTAATTCAACAGTGCCCTTTCAATAAAATTGAATTTAAACTAATAATCTAACAACTCTAAAATTAAATATAACTATTCAATAAGTAATTTTTTACTTATCTTTGAATTGAAGAATTCAAGTTTAATAGTAGAAAGCACTTATTTTCTAACAATGTTGGTGAATTTTCCTATTTTTTCTTTTGTTCTTCTTCCTCTATTTTTTCCCCTTTTCTCTTTCTTTTCTCTCTGTATCTCAGCTTCTCTGTGCAAGTATATGTTTTGTGTGTGAATCAATTGTATATAAATGGATTAGAACGAAATTGATTTTATTAATGTATACACAATCAACCATCGCCTGATATTTTCCAATTTTGTTTGCTTTTAGTTTCATTTTTTTCTTTTTGTTAGCATGACATATTTGACCTCAAAGTTAAATTTGACTAATTTAATTTGATAAGTTATGTGTTACAAAATCACCCACTCAAAAGAATTTCGTCCTCAAAATTTAACTAATTAAATATGAAAAAGCAACTGAGAACATAACTGCTCTTCACTTTCCCATGTTGCTTCTCCTATAGTATGATTCCTCCATAAGACTTTAACTAATGGAATAGCCTTACTACGCAAGACATGTTCCTTTCTGTCCAATATATAAACTGGTTCTTCATCATATATAAGATTTTCCTTCAATTCCAGTGGTTGTGATTCCAAAACACGAAACTGATGTGGAATATATTTACGAAGCATGGAAACATGAAATATATCGTGAGTTCTAGACAATTTCATTGGCAAAGCCAATCGATAAGCAACTGGACCAATGCATTCAACAAATTTATATGAGCTACTATATCTCGGACTCAATTTACCCCATTTACCAAATATGATAACACGCTTCCATGGCGGTAATCGTAGAAAACTCTATTATCAACTTCAAATTCAAGGTTTCTTTTGTGTCTGTTTGTGTAATTCTTCTGGCTATCTTGAGCTATCTTTAACTTTTTTTTTAATTATCCTTACTTTTTCGATAGTATTCTAAACATATTCAGGACCTAATAACTTCCTTTCGCCCACTTCATCCCAACATATTGGAGTTCTACATTTCCTACCATACATTACTTCGAAAGAAGCAATTTATATGCTTGAACGATAGCTGATATTATAAGCAAACTCCATTAGAGGAAGATGAATATCCCAATTCCCTTTAAACTGTAGTACACAAGCTCGTAACATATCTTCCAAAGTTTGTATAGTTCTTTCTTACTGACCATCGGTCTGCGGATGAAAAGTTGTACTGAATGAAGTTTAGTACTCATAGCTTTTGGCAAACTTGGCCAAAATTTAGAAGTGAAACGAGAATCTCTATCTGAAACAATAGATACTAGTGCCCCGTATAAACCAACTATCTCATCAACATATATTTTTGCCAATTTATCTAGTAAGTGACTTTAATAGGCAAAAATATGGCAGTCTTCATCAATCTGTCTACAATGATCCATATGCTATCATGCTCACTCTGAGTACGTTGAAGCCCAAATAAAAAATCTATCGTAATGTGATCCTAATTCCACTTAAGAATTGGTAATGTTTATAACAATCCAGGTGGTTTCTGACGATCTAGTTTCACTTCTTGGCAAATGAGACATCTGGATACAAACTCAACTATTTCTCTCTTCATTTTATGCCACCAATACATGATACATTTTAGTACTACCTGGATGCATCGCCCAAGCTAAACTATATGCCTTTTCTAGAATCTCTTTCTTCAATTCCGAATCATTTGAAACACATATTCATATAACTAAAGTTTTATCATCTTAAATGATATAATTTGTATGCTTACCTTTACTAACATTTTATTTCAGTTTGCTCAACGCTGGATCTTGAGTTTGAGCTTCACTTACTGTGTTAATCAAAGAAGGCCTCACTTGAAAATTGGCAAACTATGCTCCTACACTGGTAACTGACAATTGAACATGTGTAACTCTAAACTCACCAAACAAGGAAGAACATACGACGTTAGTCTGGGTCATAGAGCTACATGTCTTCCTATTGAGAGCAACAACAACTACGTTGGCCTTTCCTGGATGATAATCAATCTTGCAATCATAGTCTTTCATCAAATTTGTCCTTTTTTTTTTGCCTCAAATTCAACTATTTTAGATTGAAAATATAATTTAAAATCTTATGATCTGTATATATTTGACGTCTCTCCCATACAAGCAATGTCTCTAAATCTTCAATGCTAAAATGGCTGCAAGTGGTTCTAAGTCATGTGTAGGATAACTTAGTTCATGTTTGTTCAATTGTCTAGAAGCATATGATGTAACCTTCACATTCTGCATCAAAACACAACCAAGACCTTGACGTGAAGCATCACTATATATCAAAAACTCTTTACTGAAGATGGAAGGGCAAGAACTAGAGTTGAAACGAATCGATTCTTCAATTCTAAAAAACATTTTTCACAATCTTCATTCCAAACAAATTTAGCATTCTTTCTAGTCAGACTTGTCAAAGGAAGAACAATTTTAGAAAATCCCTCTACAAAACGATGGTATTAACCTACTAAGCCAAGAAAACTTTGTATTTTTATCACTTAAGTAGTCCTCTCCCATTTCACCACTGCTTCAGTTTTCTACTGGTTAACATAAATTCTCTCGATGATATAGCATGTTCCAAAAGTACCACTCTATCTAACCAAAATTCATATTTATTGAATTTATCATACAACTGGTTATCGCGTAGAGCCTGCAAAATGATTTTGAGATGCTCA